GGACGCGGCGACGACGACGTGTCATTTGCTCCTACCTCAGCATCCGACTGAATCTTGATGGCGCGTGGGGAACAATCCGATCAGCTCTTCTACCGAGACAAGCCGCCCGTTCTTAATCACTTCCAGTGGGGATGGGCGACAAGGAATAATAGCACCAAGACTCTGCACAGTTCTCGCTCTTGCCCAGGAGACCAGAATGGGAGAAGAAGTGACTTGTCTATACAGTGCGTATAGATAGTCCTGCACATGCTGCGACACTGCCGCAGCCCGCCAGCCGGGCAAACCTGGCAAAGCAGACCAGATCGAATTAGCAGGGAGATTTGACCCGGTCGAGTCAAGCGGCAAGCCCATGGGGTGGAAATTGCAAACAGCAATAGACTGAAGCTCCGATCGGCGGATATCAGACGAAGAAAGAGAGTAAAACCATGGACGAGGGCTGGACGGCAGAATGCGGTGAAAGCTTCATGATTAAAACGCGTTGTCAAGGAATGGGCTAGAACAGGGCTGTTGCCAGCAAGATACCGGCCGCCAACCCACCATCATGGGAAGCTTCGTACGGCCAAAACCCTCGCTGGACGCGCTCCCCCTAAGTGCGCCGCCAGGGTTACTCGCCCAGTTAGCCGAGCTGGTAACTCGAATAGCAGCACGTCAGGCGTGCCAGCGCTACCACTGATGGATGGCACAGAGCCAGGCTACGTGGGCGGGCAGGATGCCAGGAGCTACATCGTCCATGAACATCACCATGCAGATAGATGCATAGCTGCTGCTTCTGGATGTCCAGCCACATCGACTGTCTCCCACGGGACCTCGGCCACATGCAGGCTGGACGGGCGGACAGTGGAGAGTAAGACACCCGCAGCAAGGACCAGGAGACGAGGCAGCCCAAAGACGAGACCATAGGCTAGGATCCATGCCGGATGGACGATTGACGGTTGCTCAACAGACTTCCCGTCGCGCATGTAGTCCGTCCCTAGCCCTTGTACCGTCGTTCGGTAGGTAAGTAAAGCAGACTGGGCCAGCTCCACGTCCAACGGCGGCGATTGTACGCTGCGGCACACCATGGCTGAGGTACAGGACGCGCCGCACTAAGGTCGTGCAAGCTAACCAGCCCGTCCGCGGGACGTGTAGTGTATCGAATGGGCTGTAATCAGCTTCGGCCCACCAACGATACGAATGAATACTTCCCTAGCTTTTCCTGAAGCATGACCTATTCCTGGTTCTGTATCATACTGTCTCGTTGAAAAAACTGGCCGGCAAGAAGCCATGTCGGAGAGCAGTTGAATCCCTCCAACGGCGGACTGAACATACTGCGTGCTGATGGATGGGCACTGATTCGAGGAACGTGGCAGCGTCTCAAGCACGCTACTGCACAAGGTTCACGTTGCCCACCGAGGACTACACTGCCTATGAGCGTGCTGAGTGAGCGGCACACCAGCTACTTGAGATGGTGGGGAGAGCTGTATGGGGCCTTTGAGCACGGAGGAAGGCAACGAGGATGGGCTGGCTCAGAGGAGCAGGCATATGGATGGTCGGGGCTGGAAAGGCACACTGCACAAGAGCGGCAAAGCAGCGGTGAGCAGAATATCTGACCTGCTTGTTGTGGTTTTGGCACTGACCTACGCAGTATGCTCCGTCCTGGGCGGCTCGGGTCCGTTCATCCCGTACTCGACCCGACCGTTGTCATTCGCCATCACGTCAATGTGTTGATGTTCAGCCGAGTTTCGGATCGGAGAAGGAAGAGTGAATTCTTCATTTCTCACTCGGTCTTCTCACTGACCCTCACTTTCGATGGGATCTCACCCGGTTACGGGATGCAGCTCATGGGCCCAGGCGACGATTCTGTCATGCGATACCGTGACTGTTGTTGGCCGACAAACGAGGCGGAGATGACCTGTCAGATCTGACAGCTGTGTGGCCGCAAGCCACGCGGCGGCAGCGGCGGTGGCCGGTAGTACAAATGAACTCGGATACTATGGGAAGCAGATGGGAGCACGTATCAACCAACAACCCATACGGATACCGAGCACGATTCCGGGATGCACACATCGTGGGCGACTTCTTTCTACTGTAGGGGACCCACCCTGACTCTGACTCTTCAAGGTGTGCATTCCATCTCAACAAGGCAGCCGAAACGGCAAAAAGCAAGCGCTTGACGAGGGGTCGCGAGGGTTTCTTTCTCTGGTCTGACTTTCTGACAGTAGTGTATGGTAGGAGTAGCCGTGAGGGGTTGCTTCTTCTTTGTTTCTTGCTTTCCTTTTCAGTTTGGTTTTTTATTTACCATTTTCTCCCCGCCTAGGTAGGTTACCGGTAGTCATACGGGCGACCAGCTCCTCACCCACCATCTTACCTCGTCCGCCGCCGTCTCCCCGCTTGCTCACCACCCATCGCCAAAAGAAATCGACATTTCTTCCCCCGGCTCGCGTCCGTGGCCGCCGATACCTTGCAGCAGAGTTGCAGACCAACAAGAAAAGTTCGCACCATCCCATCTGCGGTAGCTGTCCATTGGCGATGCATCATGTACAGTACTTTGGTTCTTTTTGGCTCATCTACCTAGGCTCTGGTCACCACCCATCGGCGCCCAGCCCCCAGGCAGCCGGGCATACATACCATGGACCACGTCGCCCACCCCTTCTTCGACTGGGACACTCATGACGGGCTCCCAGGCTCCTAATCGCGCTCTTTCGGGCCAGCTGCATGACAGGTAGCACCCAAGGGGGTGGGCTCGAACCACTAAGACGGCCTCCGAAGATATTCGTGCGACCTTGAGACCTTTGGTGCTGCTGCATGGCCGCTTGGGCCCGTCACCGCCCGCATGGTGCTGCAGTCACAAGCTGCGGACCGATGCGGCCTGCAGCAGGATCGGCGTCGATCCGCTTGTTTTTTTACCACCAGAAAAACCTGTCCACGGCACCTATCTGTTTCCCAACACCCGGCGGTGGCCCCCGTCAGCCCCGGTCGGTCACACACATACACACACACACCGTCAAGTCGACCCCGTCACGGTCACGCCCCGTGTTGTCCTCCCCCGGCATCTGTCTCTCGAGCTTCATTCAGAGTTTGTCTTTGCTTTTTCAACCCTTGTTCGGTGGCTGGATGCAATTTTTATTTAAATTTTTTATTCTGCGCTGCCGTATCATGTTCGTCTGCGCCTACTGTGGTATGGACGACTCGTCGGTGCAAGGGAACACATACCTCGTCAGGCATGCTTACGGCCGGTTCTGGTTTGTCAAGGCAACTCTGGTCTCTCTCTGTCTTGCTTGCGGTGCTGGTCATGTACCTCTTTGTATGACTCGACGGCGGCAGGTTACGCTGCTCGGGTTGCGAAGCGATGGGTGTTGGGGTGTGAGTGTGCATGTGTGTGCCCACGCACCACGAACTCACGGAGGACGGAAGAGGAAAATGCTAGTCAAGTCAGGTCCTGCCGTCCAACCTGCCACGCTTGCAGTGGGTATTTCGGACGGGCATCTCATTCCATCCCCCCCTCTCTTTTCCTTGCCGGGCCCGCGGCTGTAACCTGTTTTGGGCCCCGGGTGCGTCTTCGCATCCCGCCCGAGGTCGCTTCGGTGGGCTACGAAAGGCGCGCCGCAAAAAGCGGCGGCCCCAGGGTTTCGGCCATGATCCATGGTGGATGCCAATGGATGTGCGGCGTGCCATGGCTGCGAGCGCTGGCTCCTGACTCCCTCCTGGGAGCCACGGAGCCTTGGAAGGGGGGAATAACGAGGCAGCCGCAGACGTGCAGGATGACGGTCTCCTTCTTGCTCCTCCACAAGGTAAGGAGTTCGTAAAGGTACGGAGTAGGGGACTTCAACTGTCAAGGTTCCACCAACCCCCCCTCCCTCCTCCGGTTCCCCGAGAGACCTGGGGCGCGGCGGCCGCGACCTTCTTTGTCAGACGCGGTGCGAGGTAAGGTACCGTTCAAGTTCGCTAGGAAGGCAAGGCAAGGCAAGGCCGGGTCGGGGGTGGGAAGGAAGAGGAAGGGGGAACGGGACAGATCTCTATTAGTTCGCCGTTCTTCCTGACCACGCTGACCCCCCTTCCCCCTCCGCCTTGGATTCAGGCACTTCCATTGACTGAATTCCTGCCAGAACTGCACGGGGGATAGGAATCCACAACGCTGAACCTACCCCGAAATTCTCCACGACCCCGTGCCATCCCAGTCTCACACGCATCTAGTCACGTGATACAGAGGCTGCTGTTAAGCTGTTGAAAACAGGGGAGTTGCCTTACCTAAGGCCATGAATTTCAGGCCGTCACCTCACCTTTCCTCGCTGCCCGCCCGTGCCGGGTACGAATACCTTTACTCTGCCCTGAGGTAAGGTAAGGTACGCAGTAATTACAGCAGCGTACGAATAGATTCTCTCGTAGCGGTGCCTCCACAATTATCCCATTCCCCGCTCCTCCGGTACTTCTTTTCATGTGTGGTCCCTTCATCATTCCATTCGGGGACTAACCTCCCGGCGCCTTTATGTGGACTGGAGACTTTTTTTTTTTTCCTCCCATCGCCGAGTTTCTTAACCTAAGGTACCACCTAGTAGCACTGGACCCCTTCCCGGCCGGATCATTTCCGCGGACCTGGACCTACCAGTACAGCTACGAAGTGACCGAAAACTCTCCGTGCGAAAAGGAATAGAAGCAACGTCGAGTGGTTGAATCATCCAGTGAACGAAGGTACATATTGAAAGATCAAGAAACTTTGCCATAGTGGTCTTTCTCTCTATTTATTGCAACCCCTTTTTGTGAAAGCTGAGTAAGGCACTTGCAGACGACATATTTTTTTTCTTTTCTGCTCTTTTCTCCTCCAATCAAAAGACGAAGAACTTCAAAGGAGGGGTGTTGACAAACGAAAAGAAGACGAAATTTCCGGAACCCCAAGGATATCGAAAACCCTGGACATATACCAGGTACGCTTACCTTACACACCGAGACGCCAGCTCGAGATCTGCCTCCGGGCAAATTGCCGCCGACGTTCCATTCACCGAATATATTCCCGTCGACAAACCATGGCCGAGAACGATACTGCCAGCGCCAACAAGGCTTACTTCAAGTATGCATACATTTTATATTTCCACACCGTTTTGCTATGTTATCTTCATGAGGAAGGAGGAACGCCATGACAGGATGATGTCGAGTGACATCCAATTTAATCCGCGTTCAGGCGTTCTCGGGTTCCTGCAGATGTGTCACACGACAAACACAACCTATGGAGTCTCATCACCACTTTCAGGTGTACTGGCCTCGACCTCTTCCCCCTATTCTAAGTACCATCCTCCCTTTTTGAACTGCATTCCGCATTTTGAGCGAATATAAAAACATGCCTAGGCCCATGGAATTGACTTACACGAACTAACTCGTGAGTAGTAAGCTGGCAGCCGAGTACGACGCAAAGTACGAAAAGACTATTCTGCAGCTCGAAAAGGAGATTCGCAAGCGCAAGGACTTTATCGGCGCAGATTGGGTCATTGACGACGACGATGATGATGACGACGACAGTGAGAACGAGAGCGCAGCACAGCCGACGGCGGCGAAGGGTCGGTCTGTGAGACTTCTTGATTACGCTTGTGGAACGGGCTTGATTTCGAGGGTGAGTTTACTTTTTCCCCTTTGCGTTTTTTTCTTTCCTGAAATCTTTTTCAAGGAGACATGATTATGTACGAATTGTATGTTACATTTGTCATGTTTGCGAGTAGCATATCACCTCCCTCGAGCAGGTACTGTACTCGAGAGAAGTGGACGAGATCTTTTCCCGTCCGTCACGCAAGTTTGTTTGCTCTTGTTTCAGACGTCGTGTATACCATGCTCGTGTAACATGTTTTATTCTCGTCATGTACGCGAACAATTCCTCCTCGTTATTTCTCCTGTCATCTGTGATGGGTCTAGCACCACTTCAACAGTGTAGAAACGGAAGACTCGGGCTGTAGAACTTATAATTGGGACAAATTCGACTGACACCAAAAATAACAACAGGCTCTCGCGCAGTTCACGACGCATTGCGTCGGCATAGACATTTCGGAAAACATGGTGGCGGCCTACAACGCCCGGGCCGAGAACCAGGTACGTTGGAAAGGTGATGCTGATTTTGTTTGGTTCAAGTTCGAGTGTTCGAGGCAGTCAAAACAAGGCGAGAGAGAGAGAGAGATGAGTCCAAAATAGCTCGGTTTCCCCATTCAGACTCCCAGTTGTCGCTCTCTACATACACACCTTCTTCTCTTTTTTCTTCACCTCCCTTTTGGCTAGATAGTTCTGCCCACACGCGACGTACAGACCGGGCATCCAAGTGGAAAGTGACAAGAGGGAGAGGTGTGAGGGTGGAGGGAGAGTTTCGAAGAAAAGGTGTGTGTACACGCACATCAGACACCAGACACCAGACGCAAAAAAAAAAAGACGAGACCATGGGGCCAGCCGCTCCCAGACTCGGCTCGACTCCAGACAAGAAGCAAGCAAGCAAGACAAGGCAAAAAAGACCGGATCGTTCGCCTCACACGGATACCTGCTCACGGACTCGTTTCGGCAAAGAAGAGAGCACAGACAATCTTCTGGGGAAGTGGAAAGGAAGAAGGCTTGTCGTGGCTGTGTGTAAGGGAGGGGAAAGAAAGTCAGAACCCTCGTCTGAGCGTTTCCGTCGTCACGTCCATGATGAATGACGGACGGGTCCGTCCTCTCCTCGAGTCACTTTCTTCTCTCTTTCTCTCTACTCTCTCACCCTCACACACACACCTCATGTTGGTCTCATCTCAGCCCTGCTGACCTTCAGACCTTTTCGATCCCCGCCATGACATGACGTGGACATTTGCCAGGAAAACTCTCGCACTCTCTTTCTGCGGTTTTCGATCCGACCCCACCCCCCTCCTCTTCCTCCTCTCTCCTCTGGACAGCCTTAGATCTCTCTCTCTCTCTCACCCTACCCACCCCTCCCTGAATCTCACAAGAATCTCATCTCATCCCATCTTTTGATGACAGAGTTGCCGTCTCGGGCGAGCCAGCACACCCGCACTTCTACCACCCTCCCCCCCCCCCCCCCC